AATGAGCCAATATATAAGCATTCTAATACCCATGCTGATCATACTTTTGATAACAGAGGAACGTAACATGCAATAGTTCTCTGTTAGTGTTGATGAAATAAATGAGCCCAGAGTAACTAGATTGTCTCATAAATCAATCACCAGAATACTAACCAGTCAAAGTTTGGATTTACAAGTATAAGAAGAGCTTGATTTGAAGCTTTATTTTTTTTTAAATTTAATTGTCGTTAATTTAATTAGCGTTAACTTCAATTACCATTAAAGTCTTCTAAATTTTCAGTTAAAACAAAAAAAATTGAAACATTAAGTTTTAGAAAGGCTTTAATTTTAATCATATTCTTCATTTTTCTTTTAACGGTATATTGACCTGATCCATTCATTTCAAGAGGAATACTGTTAAATGCAGCTTTGCTGCTCTTGGAAGGTAAGCTAGCTGAAGTGGCTTTGCATGACACTGCAAAACTTCTGAACGTTTTGTTAGTCCAGAATTCAATACTAGAAAATTACTCACTTTCTAAAGTTTTCAATGGGAGCATTATTTTTTAAATCCAGACCATTTCCTAAAAACACATTAGGGGCTGACTAGCAAAACACTTAAACTGAAAGAGCAAGGGTAAGGTACGCACTAGCAGTGATTATGACAAGCAGACTGTGGCCAGTAACTCTGAACCCAAATTATTAGCTGCTGGAACAGTTTTAGTCCTTACTTGCAATGTTACTGCTACAAAAAGATACCCACTCACCGTGCTTTTAAAGGCAAGGAAATGTCTACTGTTTAAAGAATATAGTTTCAGGGTCTCTTTAAACTGCCATAAATTTTCGCTGAAGAAACTAGATCAAGGACTTGACAGCTTGAAAGATAACGGGACAAAAATCCAATCGAATCCTCAGTTTGTTTCAGTTGCACAAACAGCTAACTTGATGCAAGGCAGAGGACAGACCCAGGGCAGGAATGAAGATCAGAAAGGTGAGAAAAGAGTGAGACAACCTCACTTAGTGATAGTGCTCACTTACTGTAACTTAAAGTGAGTAGGAATTTATACCATATAACTTTGCTTAGGCTATTTACTACTTCGCGGCAGTTTTGCATTCCAGGCTGTAGTCAGGATTTAGCCAAAGCCAGTGAAGTCAATTATATCATTTGGGTTTTTCCTTGTAGCATGATCTCATTAGAACATCTCTTAAATCAGGTCTAGTGAGAAAGGTCCAGTGTTGGCACAGAAGATCCTAATATTTCTGGGTCCTATGTTAAATCTTTATGCATTTATGTCTATTTATTCTATAATTCATAGGACATAAAACCGTTTGTAGATTGATACAGCTTTTAGAAGCATAGGAAAGGCCTGTTGGGACTCAAAGATGTTGTGAGGACTTCAGAAGCAGTACATAGACTGCAGGGCCTAATGAGGTGGACCAAGGAGGATTTGCAAGCTCCTGGCCCCAGGTGCGCACTAGGGCAATGTGGGCTACATGTGGCTGTGCCAGGGCCTGGAATCAACTGTCTATGCTATTAAATTGTTAAAATAGCCCCATCACAGTGTTAGATAATTATCATTCTCCTAAACAATTTCCAGTATGGTTTGGGATTCACAGCGGCCAGGGACCATTTCCTATAGCTGCTTTCAATGTGTCCACCCTATTTTGGAGGGGTAGGGAGTTTGATAATATGGCAATATGGTTGGGTTCCACTTGTGTCCTGCCACTCTTTCATGTACAAGGATAAATATAGATGCACTGACTCCTTAACATGGCCCCCTTCCCTCCAGTGCCCCAAATAATTGAATCGAAACATCA